TCCTGAGTGCACTCAATGTCAGTTTGAATAAGAAACTCTAAGAGAGAAAGCAATTAAGGGCTGTTGTTGCCATTGTTACAAAACACTTCAAGCAAAACTTAAGAGCCCAAATACTACTTTGGTTTAAGAATAATTTGAAATAATGGATATATAATATGGTATACAGGAACAGGGTATTAGTGCGGTGTCTCAGTTTTCTCTTTATGTAGGTAAAGTTTCCAAGTTTATCTTGCATTTTCAGCCTTTTTAATATATATTACCAGTATGGTCAATATATCTTGAGGAGTTTACACAGATTTTTCCAAGTTCTAAAGGAAATTTCAGTTATCAGTGTGCTTTAGCTTACTAGAAATTTTATAAAGAATCTTCAGCCTTCATATGTATAAATATTTATTTTTGCCCTATCGTGTACTTTTAAGCAAGAAATACTGTATCTATTGCTTTTCCTTTAAATCTTGTTAGTTATATCTTCTTCTCTAGGAAACAAGCAACTGGTAGATTTTTTTTTTTCATACACTTTTTATAGTACATAAAGCTCGTTTTCTCTGCTTAGCCCAAGATTCCTACTACTTGCACTAGACTTGTATTTACTAGTGTAAAACTGTTTGTGTCAGTTTTATGCTGTTCATTTGAAATAACTGTAGCAACTTTAAAAAGTTTAAAATAGATAAATACTCCTCAGTACAACAGTAATTAGAAGAAATCTTCAAAACGGAAGTATGTAATCGTACGTGATAATGCAGTCCTTAGTCCTTGAACTACTCCTCATGGTACCGGGAGGGTTTAAGCTTACATTATGAGATCAGTGTTGGTCTCTAGCAAACACTGAAAGAACAGGTAATGGAAAAGGGAGGGCACCAACAGTAGCACCTGCAGCTTTCACATAAAAGCGGTAAAATCTGTCTGACTGTAGCCAAAGTGATTGTGACAAACGCTGTCAAAGAGACCAGATTTTCATTTTCAGATTCATCACCATCTGTCACAGGAAATCCATGAGATCTGAATTGGGAACTTTGGGTGAAGACTTAAGGAATCTTGTTCCTGACATTTCTTACCTGCTGCCGATATGGACAACATAAGGAATGTATCTGCATGGGGTGGAGCAAAGCAAGCATGCAGTATGGGAACTGTTGGGAAACTGGGAGAAAAATGAGGCTGAAGAACAGAACAAAAAAGAGCATCAAGGACAGGACTCTAGCGTAGCTGCGTTGAACACAAGAAGGTGTTACAGAATAAAACTGGTCAGAGACGGTGCTGGTGGCAACCAGGGAACATGGCCTGCGTTGCTGATGGGAAAAAAAAACCAAAACAAGGGCTCCTGAGTGATGTGGTAACACAAATATGCTGCTCGGGCTTCACTCGTGCAATCTCAACAAGTAAAAGGGCTGTTACTGGGTCCCTGCATCGCTTCTATCTGTGGGACAGGCAAAATGTGAACGTACGCTCTAAAAAAAGAGAAGCTGGAGCCCAGTTACGTACGTGTAAGATAAATGAGAAAAAGTGAAGGCTCCATAAGACCAACGTATCACACAGACACCCCTTTAGGTACGTATTGTGACAGTAATGGATGCCTAATTCCTGTTTTCGCATCCTATTTCCTTGTTTGATCTTAGCACTGAGTTTCAACATCATGTGTGCTTTAAAACTATGATAGTTCAAAATGCATTTTAAGTACAAATAAAAAACACAGCTATCCTCTTTGTTTTCTTTTTCTTCCCCCAGACTGATCTCTAAACATGGACAGATGTCCATGGATCTGAAAAATGCATCAAAAATACTAGTTTGCCAGAGTATCAAAAAGCAATAAGGCATCTATAGCCCAACCTAGATACTGACCAAAACAGGAAATCTAATTTGTTGGGGGGAAAAAAAATGTAGGTGTGGATAATAAAGAATGTGTTATTTTAGCAGTTTATAATACAGGAATTTAAAAAGGTTTTTTTTTAAATGTCATTACAATTAATATAAACGGTCAAATTCTGTTCGTGAATTTAGTCCTTTGTGGAGTAGTATCACATCAGAAATTTTTGTTACCTAATATTCAGGAGTTAGTCTGAGCTTTAGAACTGACACTAACTAGTAGCCTTGTGGCAGAAACCAGAAGTGTTTACCTATTGCCAGACTAGAAATAAATTCTTTGTACACTAGAGAGACATCTTAAGCAAGAAACGGCTCCGAAATCTTGTCTTGCTATGTATTAAGTGGTACTATGTTCAAAACTTTGCAACTTCTTGAAAACATTTTGGACTGATGATAACTATATACTTTGTGGAGAAAAAGGATGATTTGATAAATGGAAAACTACAAAAAGAACTCATTTTTCTACAGCTCAGCTCATGAAATGATGAAAACAAATAAAGCCTGCATTATGCTTTCCCGTGAGAGGGGATGTCTTACCCACACAAACTGAACTGATGCAGTGCAAAAGCTTTGAGGAGGAAGGATGCTTAATTTTATGGGGACACCTGTGGATGTCGAGGCATATGTGGTAGAGAAAAGCCTTCCTTTCTACTCATAGAGGTTGCTTAAGAGTGCTGATACTACTACTGATTTGCGTCTATGGAGAATAACCAAAGTGGAGGCTTGTTACTCACACTGAAACACACCTGCTAGTTGAGCAAAGGAGTTGTTTGGCAGTATGAGACGGACTTTTTTTAAACAGACTCCCAGCTTGAGATGTGAACTACTTTAGTTACTCTTCCTTCATATTATGAGTCTGTGTTTACATGCTAGGATGTAAAGATACAGATGAAACTTTCTAAGGAAAGAGAAAAGAATTCCCTACTCTGCTGTATCTGGTTATTAGTATTGGTGATAACATTAGTCGCCCATCTTTTGCAGGTGACTATCATTATATAATAACTAATTTGTTCCTTGCTTTCTGGATTTTACAATTAACAGGTTGAATCCCTGGCATTTCTCCTAGCTAGATCAAAGGATTTACCTATTTGCTATCTTTTATTTGTCCTGATACTATATGTCCTTATTCCATGCTGGAACGCACAATGTATTCCTCTCCATGGCTGCATGTTTCAAATGAAGACAACAAGTAATGTGACAGTTACCGGGCATTATAAGCATTCTGCACTGAAGCTGGGCTAGTTTAGGTTTATTTTAGGAAGTCAGGCAGAAAATACTTAAATGTTGAGGAGTTTAGCGTTAAGTCAGGATGCTGAATTTCATCTAATGATTTAATATGTTACCTCTGCCCTTGCCACTAGGAAAGTCTTTTCTAACGTCTAGCTGGAATCCTCTCTTGTTGCAAAGTTAAACAAATTATGTCTTATTTATCCACACTGGATAGAGAGCATGGCTTGTACCCACATTTAATGAAACGGAATAGCTCCATCATGTTTTCCTGCAGTTGTCTTTTCTTTAGATTAAATAATCCCAATTCCTTTTAGCTGTTCCTGTAAACTGAGTTTTCTAGGTCTTTGGTCATCCATGTTGCTGTTCTTTGGACTCTTACAAGAAGAACCCATATGTCTTTGTGGTGTCCTTAATTAAATACAGTATTCCAGCAACAGTGATTATTTCAGGTGTTTTATAAACAATGTTGCTATTTATAAATTCCAGTGTGATGTTTGTCTTTTTTTTCAAGTGTGACACAGTTGACATGCTTAGTTTGTGATCCATGACAACCCCTATGTTTTCTACAGAACTATCTGTCTAGCTGTTCACAACTTGCTGTGTATTTCTGCAGTTAATTACTCATGCATGACTTCATAATTCTGCTCTTCCCTTTAAATTTTATCCTGGTTTTAGACTATTCAGCTAATTTTCCAAGATTATTTTCTGTTTCAAGACTGTGCATTATCATGGTTGCTTCTACACTACTGTCATCCATAAATACACTGTCTTCTGTCACCCAAGTTATTAATCAAAATATTGAACAATACCATACCCCTAATGAAGCTGTGTGACTGCTCAATACTTTTTTCCAGTTTGACAGTGAAGCACTAATAACTTGTTGGTATTTTTTTTCCAGCCATTTTTATATTTGTCTAGATCATATTTCCCTAGCTTGCTTGGGAGAATGCCATGCAAAACAGTGTCGATGCTTTAAAAAAATAAACTAAGATGCTTAACATTTATCGCTTTTTCTCACTGACTCTCTCCCCAAGATGTGTATTTTGTCAGAGAATTAAAATATCTTGGTTTGACAGCATTTGTTACTGACAAATCCATATGGGTTATTACATATCCCTTTGTCAGAGGTCACATTTTTGTCTCAGGCAAAGGTTGAGGACAGAATGTAAATTAGTCCTTTTGTATTGTGTGTCAGTTTTCTAGAAATACAGATAGCTTAGGAGTACGTTTTTGGTTGGTTGGTTGGTTGGTTGGCTTTTGGTCTTATTTTGGTGCATGGTCATAGTCCTCAAGTGTTTGTAGGAACTGGAGGTACATCTAGTCAAAAAGGGAAGGAATAAACCCGTAGACATGAAAGGTGAACACAATGAAAATCCCAAGAAATCCAAGTAGCTTAAAGTTAGTTTATCAATGCTACTAATAATGCATTTTAATTGAATTACTATAAAAGCACCTGCAACCTATCTGCATTTATAAAGCTTTCATGTGTATAGCTATGTATATATTAACTCGTACTAAAATGTACACCATAGATCTACAGCTGCACACACAAAAGGGCTGCTGCTGCCAATACAGGCAATCATGTACTGAGTCAACTCTTGAAAAATAAGCGACAGCTGTTGTGTTTTGTTCTATAACAACAAATTCACTATCTGCTAACTGTATGCTGCCTTGAATAATTCACAGGTGATGCACATGGACTTCTATATAATGACTTCCAGCAGAGGGTACCCGTTATTTATTGCCAATATTTGCCAGATTAAGCCAATTACTTCAAGTACTCTGAAAGGGCAGCACCTTAGCCAAAGGACAATGGTTATTAGACTCCCATGAATTTTCATGTGTGCAACACAAAATCCACTGCTTTGCTATGCAGTAGAATGTCATGACTGGTACGGAAAAGCTTACCTTTATCCTTCCATGCACATCGGGCTTACTGCCAACCGAGTAAGAAGCCTGGCACATCTTTTATAGTCTGTCATGAAAAAAGAGCATAAATAGATAATTAAAGTAACCGATTTTGCCTTTAAAAATCAAAATTGTGAACAGTGTGTAAATTATTGTCATAATAAAGTTCAATGAACACCTGAGTTTGCAACAACATCTCCTTAGACTTAGAAATGGAGCGTGTAAAAATTGCGTAACTGAAAGCCCTGTCTAATGGCACGTGTAACTATGCAACTCACTTCTGCGTATCTACTGTCTATAAACAAATAGCATCAATGTGCTTGGAGGCCTTCCAAGTGTATGTACGTATGAAAATTTCTGCATCTGTGTTTGTGTTTAAATGTGGGATCTAAACATGGGACTGTAGTATTTCCATACTAGAGGAAGAATAAGTAGTGCTCATCCATCTTTGAGATCCAGCTCTCAGTGAGCAAGTCTATCAACTTAGTATTAAGTAATGCAACTCTCCAATAAATTTTTGTCTTGGGAAAACTGTTAAATTAGACAAATAACATCTCCTAGCCATAGGAATGTGAAGTCCAAACTGAGTAGGTCACCACATCATACAGATTCATTCATAACTGTATCCAGTTTCATCTTAAAACTAGTAAAATTGTTTTTTTCCACAGCAGTCCTATTTTTAGTGGTTCTTATTCTAGTTACCTTCTACTTTTTGATGCATTCATGATAAGAGGCAGAACCAATGCAAAACTAAAAAATTAATCAGATTTTTTTTTTCTTTAACATGGCAAACTGAAAGCAAATATTGTGAAAGTTGGTTATGGACAGACAGCAGCGTAAATTACTTTTTAGGTGCCAATGCTACTATGCTGTACAAAGTACTAGAAGGTTTGCTGACAAAATGCTTTTTTGTACTGGCTACCGCCGTGTTGCAGCATCACAGATGCTTTTAATGTCTTTGTTGTTTGGCCTTTGAATTTCTACACAGAATGAACAGTATTACCTGAAATCAGGATATTATCAAAAAGTAACATCATACTGTGCATGAAGAATTAAAGCAGGCTGTTTACCTCATTTTCCTAGAAGAAAGCTACTTTTAAGGAGATGCTAGTCAGTCCAGTCCGGTGACTGATGTTGATTTGCATTAAGCATTATTTCATTAATGAGTAACTGCAGCTAATGTTTCCTAGAGATGCCATGTTAACAATCCCTAACTCACAGCATAGATACACTATAATTGCCATTCATACAAATTATCCTCCATTATCCAGCCATTATGTTGGTGGGTATGGCACCTGTCAGGAGGAAAACGCTAATTCAGACTTTTAAGACCAACTAGTTTTTAGCTTCACAGCCTGGAGTACTCATTAGTGCTGAGTCAAATGATGTTTGTGTTGTGATCCTCATGAAAAAAGTAATATGGCTGTTTGCTTGTTCAAAACCAACTAGTTATGAACAACTTCCATCTCCATCCATGTAAACGGAACGTGATCTGGTTAGCCATTATCAATAAATCCTTGTCTTTCCAAGGTACTCCTAATCTGAAGCCTTACAAATAGGGAAAAAGTCTACAGTTCTTACCAAATATGCCTTTAAAATACATTGGGCTGAAATATTTATTAATACTTGAAACTTGGAATCTATAACGCTTGTTTCTATTCCCAGCTCTGCTACTGACCCAACTGGTGGACCTCAGACAAGTAAAATAAAGTGTGCTTCCATTCTGAAGAGGCTGTGCTAAAATAGCATCTGCTTACTCAACAGGTCCACCTCAGTATGAATCTGGAGTCACATCTCACTGACAAATGTCAATGTTTGGGTTTTGTTTTTTTTTTTAATTCTCTGTGCTGCCAGGCCTTAGGAAGTTCTACTTTTTTCATTCACTGAAGACAAGGGTTGCAAAGATTCACTGTCGACATCACCGGTAGATTGGTGGATGAACAGTCATACATGATAAAATGATAAAACGTCCATAATGTTTATAAAACATGTTCTACATAAACAATCAATGAAAAGGAAATAGCCCCACCTGGATTTCTGATCCTCTCTTGAATTTGCAGCACTAGAAATTAAATATGAGAGCTTTGCGAGAGGAGTCCTGCGTTCCTATGAAAAGAAACGCCTTTGGTTTGGAACCAGAGAGGCACATGCATCAGTACCTGAGGAAGCCGTGTTTACAGCCATTCTACGTGGTGTGTTTGCAGTGAAAAAAGTTGTGTTTCCATTTTCCTCGCTGTAATGCTGATGCTGTTCTAGCAACGCTGTAAAGTGTACTCAGGACATTTTAGAGCACTCCAATTTCTTCATTGCAAGGAACGTATTCTAACATTGCATCACTACTGGTACCTCATAGAGCTATTAAATTTTAGAGTTTTCTGTTCTTTTATGAAAGTCTCCGGTTTTGGCACTTACATGCTGGGATGGTGCAGTCCCTTGTATTGTGATAAAGCCGATGAAAGTGTTTACTACATTTTGGGCTAAAGTACAGTGGACCTGAAATATAAAGAAAAAATAAGTTATGAATCAGCACAGCTCACAGGAAGAGTAGTGCAGCTTATGGGTATGTACATGAAATGATGGCTGCCAATGGAAAATTAAAACATACCTGTTAAATGCTTTAAGAACTTGTCTTTCATCCTCAGATCTCTGGGAACTATTTCTGATGGAGAGAAAAAAGAATAGTCACTCTGCTGCACTGGAACTACGCTTGCCAAGCGTAGTATGAGGACAGGGAGTAAACTCTGCCCAGCAAACATCACCACTATGTCTTGAGAGATGCACAGAGGTCAAAAATCCTTTGCATGCAGTCGGCCAAATTGCAAGCATTTGCTTTACATAAGAAGCCACTGTAAAATGCACGGTGAAACACACTGTGATGATGAAACAAGTAATGTCTGTTAGGTGTGCAGTCATTAACGATGATGACGATTAACTAAGAGTCAGATTTTAGCTCTCTATCAGTTATGGTATCAAGTTCACCTAGATTTAAATTCTTCCAGAAATTTTAGTTCATGGTTGCTCAGAAATAGCATATTCTGCTAGTGGTAAAGACCCAAAGATATATTCAAGTTTGGTTTTGTGTCTTCTAATTCTCCTATGCAAATGTATCCACTCTTTTGTCACAGGTATGTCTGTACAAGCACTGTCCTGCTGTAATCATGAGACTGGACTGATCTACTTACAGGAATCTTCCCCCCCCCCCCCTGGCACCACAAACAAATCA